GATGTCAAATAGGGGCACATAAACTTTCTGCTGAGCTGTGCCCACACCCACAATGAGTCCTTGATGATTGTCTTTGTTTAAGTATTAACTCAGCCCTAAGAGTCCAGGAAATTCCTCTGTATTCTCTAGTTGGAAATCCTGCTGTGGCCCCTTTCAATGATATGACTCTATGATTACTTCTGATTTAAAAACAGTATACAACTCAAGAAGAAATTTTCATTCCACTAAGTAATAGAAAAGAAACCACTTTTGGTTTCATGAAAATGAGTTCATGGAAGGATCATTTCTAAATATCCTTGCTGTGACTATTCATTCGTTGAGTCACTTCCAACTCTGCACGACCTCATGGACCATCCCACGCCAGAACTCCCTGTCAGCCGTCACCTCCCCCAGCTCCTTCAGGGTCAAGCCAGTCAGTTCAAGGATACCATCCATCCATCTTGCCCTTGGTTGACACCTCTTCCTTTTTTCCTTCCATTTTCCCCAGCATAATTGTTTTCTCTAAGCTTTCGTTTCTTCTCATGATGTGGCCAAAATACTTCAGCTTTGCCTCTACTATCCTTCCCTCCAATGAACAGTCGGGCTTAATTTCCTGAAGTATGGACTGGTTGGACCTTCTTGCAGTCCAAGGCACTCTCAGAACTTTCCTCCAGCAGCACAGTTCAAAAGCGTCTATCTTCCTTTGCTCAGCCTTCCCTAAGGTCCAGCTCTCACATCCGTAGGTTACTACGGGGAATACCATTACTTTGACTATGCAGATCTTTGTTGCCAGTGTGATGTCTCTACTCATCACTATTTTCTCCCTCTATTTGCAAGTTATCAATCAGTCCAGTTACCATAATCTTGGGGGGGGGGGGTTATGTTTTACTGCGACCCAGCTTTTGCACTTTCTTCTTTCACCTTGATTAGAAGGCTCCTCAGCTCCTCCTCACTTTTGGCCATCAAAGTGATATCATCTGCTTATCTAAGGTTGTTAATGTTTCTTCCAGCAATTTTAACTTCAGTCTTGCATTCATCAAGCCCCGCACATCGCATGATGTGTTCTGCATACAAGTTGAATAGGTTGGGTGAAACTATACTTCATCAAAGGGCATATTCTCTTTTTTGACATCACAGCCTGAAATCTCTGATTCTTCATTGATTATATGCACCTTTTACATGGAGTGTTATATAGATGAAGTATAAATCCCAGCAACTACAACTCCCAAATGACAAAATCAATCCCCACCCCAACCCCACCAATATTCAAATTTGGGCATATTGGATATTTGTACCAAATTTGGTCTGGTGAATGAAAATACTTCTGCATATCAGATATTTACATTATGATTCATAACAGTAACAAAATTAAACAATTAAGAATCAATCTCAGATGTCACTCTGTAATGTCAAAAAAGAGAATATGTTCTCCGTGTTGCTGACAAAGGGCCTCCTTACAAAATAAACATGGCTAGAATTAAGAATGGACTTATGTCTTTATAAGTGGATTTACTTGTGCAGTAGTTTTATAACATCCATATTCACCTAGGAGCTCTCATTCAATTGCAGCATATGCTATATGTTGTGAAATGGCAACCAGTAGAATGGTGATGCGCCATGACCCCATTGTCCAATTGATACCAATATGTATCAGGCAAATATTGATAATATTTGATAAGACATGAAGATTTGCTATTTGCAAATTCTATATTGAAATGGCTAGGAAATAAAATAGTACAACAAGAGTGATGAAAGTGGATCTGAAGTGCCCAATATGCATTTGAATTAATTGATGCTTATTAGCTGTTCCTAAGCACTTTGGATTTACTCAGTGTGCATTGGAACAATCTTGCTGATGCCCATCACAATTCTTTAAGAATTTTATTGCATTTCTACAACATGGCTCCTGGTTTGGAAAGTTATAAAGTGTTGACCGTTATGTGGAATCTGTTGAGAATCAGCCTGTGTTTGTGTTCCAGGATCATGAGGCTTCTGATGTGGGAAATGATGAGGGAAATGATGAGGCTGAGGTGCAAGATGGAGATGGTTTGGTCAATGATTTTCAGACAGACAATGACAGAGAGGCTCCAGTGCAAAGGGCAGTTTCTCATGAGTATATTCCTGCTGGGCCTAGGGATGATGGTCTACTCCCTCTTTCTGTGAGTTTTCAAGATTTGGGTTTGGAAAACAATCTGACACCTAGATAAAGAGCAAGTGTGGGGGAAAGCGAAACCAGTTTCTGGTTTTTGGGATATAAGGTTTGTTACAAGGAAAAACCTGTTAGATCAGGCATCGTTTGGAAATCAAGTTCATGTGCCATGGATTCCCAAGCACTTTAGAAGTATTCAGTGTGCATTGGAACACTTTTGCTGATGCCCAATGTTCATCATTGCAATTTTCTAACAATTTCATTGCATTTTTACAACATGGCCCCTGGTTTGGAAAGTTATAAAGTGTTGACCATTATGTGGAATCCTGGTTAGTGTTTTATTTCCTTTGCCATCACCCACTGGTGTTATTGCCAATATCATTTGTTGATTTAACTGTACAAACGATTCATTTTTGAGATTATAATTGTATTTTCTGTTTTATCTTGTATGCCATCTTGAGATGCTTTGGTCCCTAAAAGATGATTTAAATGTTTTAATCAAAATGTAATTAAATACACAACAGCATGTAGGTCAACCTTTCTCAACCTAGGGGTTGGGACTCCCGGGGGGGGGGGTCATGAGGGGGTGTCAAAGGGGGCACCAAAGACCATCAGAAAACACAGTATTTTCTGTTGGTCATGGGGGTAATGTGTGGGAAGTTTGGCCCAATTCTATGCCCTTTGATGAACTATAAATCCCAGCAACTACAACTCCCAAATGACAAAATCAATCCCCACCCCAACCCCACCAATATTCAAATTTGGGCGTATTGGATATTTGTGCCAAATTTGGTCTGGTGAATGAAAATACTTCTGCATATCAGATATTTACATTATGATTCATAACAGTAGCAAAATTACAGTTATGAAGTAGCAACGAAAATAATGTTATGGTTGGGGGTCACCACCACATGAAGAACAGTATTAAGGAGTTGTGGCATTAGGAAGGTTGGGAACCACTGATTTAGGTTGTACACAGCACCATGCAAATGTATACTACTGCTGATATTTTAAAACCAATCACTTAGAACCCTAAAAGAGACCACAAGCACTATCCTGTTCAACCCTCTTCTATGCAGGAACATACAATCATAAGTCTTTTGGCACCTAATTAAGGCTCAGTAAGCCAAATGCTGACTTCTGATTGATAAAATTTGATAGGACATGATGACTTGCTATCAGCAATTTTGTAGCTAATACTTCATCAAAATTTGAAAAAAAAGTTTCCATTTTGAAAGTGTTATTTCTTTTAATTGTGCAGTACTTGCTTTGAAAGTAGTTGTTTTACACCAAAAACCTCATTATTGTGGGTGCCACAAACTACATTGAATTGGTTGACACTCAGAGAGAGAGAGAGAGAGAGAGAGAGAGAGAGAGAGAGAGAGAGAGAGATTAGAAAACTACTGCAAAATGTGCTGCAGGATGTCTTGCAAAAAAAWATTTTTTGCCTTTTAATAAACTTTTTCCATGTTCTTCCAATAGAACCAAATTAGGAAATTACATTTAAYCCAGGAACAAAAATCATGTTTCATTAAAATGTTTATTGGCCAATATATAATAAGGAATTTTGGCTTTAATAAGCTATTATCATCCTCTTAGATTTTATAATACTCAGTAGGCTTGTTTGATCCAAAAAAAAGTTCAAAACTCATTTCGTATGTAGGGAGTGCTGGTGGTTCAATTGTAAAGTCAATTCCGATTTTCACAGAAAAAAATGTTCAATATTTTTTGAAACTTCTGAGACTTCAGAATCATTTCCTTAATAGTTTGAAAGTRTTATTTCCTGTTTYATTGGGTGGTCTTTACTTTGAAAGTAGTTGTTTTACTCCAGAAGCGGAGGGAGGGGCAAAGGAAGGAAATTCATCCACTCTTTTTAAAAACACTTCCCAGGTGCTAGACAGAGGTGAGGGGAAAGGAGAGGGAGGAAATTCATCCACTCTGGTTTAAAACACTTCCCGGGATCCAGACAGAAGCTAGGGGAGTGTAGAGGGACTAAATTCATCCAGTCTGTTTTAAAACACTTCCCAGGATCCAGACAGAAGCCAGGGGAGAGGAGAGGGGGGAAATTCATCCAGTCTGGTTTAAAACACTTCCCAGGATCCAGACAGAGGCAAGGGGAGAGGAGAGGGAGGAAATTCATCCACTCTGCTTTAAAATGCTTCCCAGGATCCAGAGAGAAGCGAAGGGAGAGGATAGGGAAGAAATTCATCCAGTATGTTTTTAAACACTTCCCAGGATCCAGACAGAAGCCAGGGGAGAGGAGAGGGGGAAAATTCATCCAGTATGTTTTAAAACGCTTCCCAGGATCCAGACAGAAGCGAGGAGAGAGGAGAGGGAGGAAATTCATCCAGTATGTTTTTAAATGCTTCCCAGGATCCAGACAGAAGCCAGGGAAGAGGAGAGGGTGGAAATTAATCCACTCTACTTTAAAACACTTCCCAGGATCCAAACAGAAGCGAGAGGAGAGGGAGGAAATTCATCCAGTCTATTTTAAAATGCTTCCCAGGCTCCAGACAGAAGCGAGGGGAGAGGAGGGAGAGGAAATTCATCCACTCTGCTTTAAAACGGCTTCCCATGCTTGAGCCGAGGCCAGGGACTAGGAGCCAGGAAACACTGAATCATTTCCGACTCACATACTGCTTTGTAACAGAAATGGCAGAAAAAGCTTCAGAAGGGCAAAGGGACTTCCAGTTTCCTTAAAAACTTTGAAATAGATTCAAAAATAAAATCTTTCCGAATTTATTCCAAATTATGAAGATTCCGACCAAGCCTAATGCATAATACCCAGTGCTTTTTATCATTTCAGTGAGCTTCTATCCAGAGCCATAGTAACTATCATTCAAAAAGGAACACAAAATTGTTTACATAGCATTTAATGGTGAATAAGCTTCATGCTGACATTAATTGGATGTGTTGAAAATCTAGGTTTCAGTCACAGCATATGAATACCACATTATTCAGTGCTGTATCATCATTACTACCCTGTGGGGGCTCTACCCTTGTATTTAGCCCACATATGGCACCAGAAGGGCAGGGTTCACTCCATGCACCAAATGTCCCCCAATTGTGTGCATTGCCTGTCAGAACAAACCCTCCACTGCACACAAATCTGATGTTGTTTGCTGCAGTATCATCATTAATATTCCCTTGATAAGGTTCCACTTGCAATGAGAAGGACATCAAGCGCCCTTTAGGGCAAAATTCAGGGTTTCTCCATGTTCCCCATCTGCCAACAAAAATGATAATAGTGATGCCCTGAGAAAATTTTTAAAAGCAGACATGCAATATATATTTGAAAAAGCAGGCAGAGCGCCTATTCTCATGCCACTTCTGTTACCAGTGGACAATTAACACAAGATCAAAAGCAAGAGAATATGCAATACATGCTGTAAAAATATCTTTCTCTAACATTGTATCTTAGGTTGTGGTTACCAACACTGTAGAATTAATGTAGTTTGACTCTACTTTAACTGCCCTGGCTCAATTCTACAGGCCATGAGAGCTGTAGTAAATTTTTTGCTGCTATTGAATTCTCTGTTGCTTCACCAAATGACAACTCCCAGGATTTCATAGCATTGTTCCATGGCAGTTAAAGGGGTGTTAATTCTGCAGTGTAGATAATCTCTAAGACATCTAGTTACCTACAAAAACATATTTGAACCTAGGTATCAGCTTTCAGAGGAACAAGTTTTGTGCCTCTGACTTTTTCCCTGCTTAAATATACTACCTTATCTACTTTCCTGTCTAAATTAAATCTGTTAGTAATGACCATTGATTATGTTGAAGTGATTCTGTCTTCTACATATCAGCTGTTTCTGCAGATTTGATTTATATCCCTTTTACTCCTGTATCAACATTCTTTATAAAGATGATGAAAAACATCAATCCCAGGATAAAGCACAGTGATATTCCACTGTAACTTCTTTGTGGAATTACAAGAAAACTTCTGTAGGTTATGCCTGCCCATCAGCCAATTAAAAGTACACTTTTTAAGAGTAGCATCATCTCGACCACTCTTTCTGAAACTTTGGATCCCAATCTCAAATGGGGTCCTCTTAGCTCAATGTTGGCTCCCAAAAATTTGGCAACAGTTTTCTCAATGCCACCTGGTGGCTGTTTTAGACATTTACACAAATCTGTTGTGCAGTGTTTACCGTTGCACACAGGAAACTCAGATGTACTTCATGAAAAAGAAAAGTCAGCTGGTTCAGTAAGTCTGATTGGTTACCAGTAAATGTTTGGGTTTTTTATACCTATTTTATATACTTACATACTCAGGGCCTCCTGGGTTCAAATGCTTAAGAGGTTCCGATGTAAACCACATTGTATCAGGTAGTCCACAGGAATATAACAGAAAATGTTGCTAAACAACTGGGTCAGACAGCAACATCTAACTTTAGCTTAATTATTTACAGGAAATTGTTTCAGAATTGTCCTGCCCTCTCAGAATATAGTTGCAACATTTCCAACATACTCTCTTTTGAATAATTGAAATATTAATCTTTAAATGCTCTCTTTTAATATTAAGATAGTAAGATTTTTTTTTTGTTTTCAGGTTGTGAGCCGTTTTGAGTCTTGACCAAAAAAAGAATACCATTATTAATTATTATTATTATTATTATTATTATTATTATTATTGAAACAGGGAGCCCCCGGTTAAAGCACTGAGCTGCTGAGCTTGTTGATCAAAAGGTCGCAGGTTCGATTCTGGGGAGCGGCGTGAGCTTCCGCTGTCAGCCCTAGCTTCTGCCAACCTAGCAGTTCGAAAACATGCAAATGTGAGTAGATCAATAGGTACCGCTCCGGCGGGAAGGTAACGGTGCTCCATGCAGTCATGCCGGCCACATGACCTTGGAGGTGTCTACGGACAACACTGGCTCTTCGGCTTAGAAATGGAGATGAGCACCACACCCCAGAGTCAGACATGACTGGACTTAATGTCAGGGGACTACCTTTACCTTATTATTGAAACAAAAGCACAGTATGTCACAGCAAACGAGACTATATGCTGGATTTCGTATCACAAAATCACAAGTTGAACACTTCCCAAGCATCTAGGACTGTGCGATGTATTTTCGAATGATGCGTGCAGATCCAAGCAAGATGGCCTTTTGCAGTTGACAGATCATGATTTTGTCGATGTTTATTGGTTCCAAATGACGGCTGAGATCTTTTGGCATGGCACCCAGTGCGCCAATCCCCACTGGGACCACCTGTACTGGTTTATGCCAGAGCCTTTGCAGTTTGATTTTGAGATCTTGATAGTGGTTGAGTTTTCCTGTTGTTTTTCCTCAATGCAACTGTCACCTGGTATAGCGACATCAATAATCCAGACTTTTTTCTTTTCCACAGTTGTGATGTCTGGTGTATTGTGTTCCAAAACTTTGTCAGTCTGGATTCAAAAGTCCCACAGTATTTTTGCATGTTCATTTTCCACGACCTTTGCGGGTTTATGATCCCACCAATTCTTTACTGCTGGAAGGTGGTACTTGTGACATAAGTTCCAGTGAATCATCTGGGCCACAGAGTTGTGTCTTTGTTTGTAGTCCGTCTGTGCTATTTTCTTGCAACAGCTGAGAAGATGGTTTCATCAGCTTCCTTGCACAGTCTGCATTTTGGGTCATCCGCTGATTTTTCAGTCCTGGCCTTAATTGCATTGGTTCTGATGGCTTGCTCCTGGGCTGCAAGAATCAGGCCTTCCATCTCGTTCTTCAGGGTTCCATTTGTGAGCCATAACTAGGTCTTCTCCTTGTCAACTTTTCCTTCAATCTTCTCAAAGAACTGCCCATGTAAGGCTTTGTTGTGCCAGCTGTCAGCTTTGGTTTGGAGTGCAGTTTTCTTGTACTGACTCTTTGTGTGCTGTGCTTTGAGAAGTTTCAGATTACTGACTTCAATTAAAGCAGGTTCTTGACTTTCCTTTACATATTCTGCCAGGGCATGTTTTTCTTCTTCAACTACTTGTTTTACTTGTAAAAGTCCTCTGCCACCAGACTTTCTAGGCAGATAGAGCTGGTCAATATCACTGCAAGGATTATTATTATTATTATTATTATTATTGACAAAGAAAAAATTGACAAAGAAAAAACATGGGTGTGGCTCACAAATGGAACTTTGATAAAAGAGACCGAGGGCATGATTCCATCAGCCCAAGAACAGGCAATTAGAACAAATGCCATCAAAGCCAGAATTGAAAAGTGGATGACAGATCCCAAGTGTAGACTGTGCAAGGAAGCAGACGAAATGATAGATCACATCCTCAGCTGCTGCAAGAAGATCACACAGACAGATTACAAGCAGTTGCATAATACCATTGCTCAGATGATTCATTGCCATTTGTGCCACAAATACCATCTGCCTGTGACAAAGAACTGGTGAGATCACAAGCCTGAAAACATTACAGAAAATGAACACATCAAACTACTCTGGGAGTTCCAAATTCAGACTAACAAAGTTTTGGAGCACAATATTCCTGACCTCACGGTCGTGTTAAAAAACCAACTATGGATCATCAATGTTGCAATCCCAGGAAACAGTAGGATTGAAGAGGAACAGTTGGAAAAGCTGACACGATATGAAAATTTAAAGACCGAACTGCAAAGACAGCAAAGGCACAAGCCAGGAAAGGCGGTCCCAGTGGTGATCAGCAGACTGGGTGAAGTGCCTAAAGACCTTGACCTGCACTTAAACACAATCGGTGCTGACAAAATTACAATATGCCAGCTGCAGAAGGTCACCCTACTTGGATCTGCACGCATTATTCGCCGATAATATCACATAGTCCTAGACACTTGGGAAGTGTCCGATGTGTGACTCAATACAACAGCCAGCATAGTGATCTTGTTTGAGGTGTAACTATCTTGTTGTATTTCTAATAATAATAATAATAATAATAATAATAATAATAATAATAACAACAACAACAACAACAGCAACAGCAACAGCAACAGCAACAGCAACAGCAACAACACTAATAATCTTTAGACCATGCAGTAAAAATCTTCAGGCTTGATTCTTAAAGATATGGTGCACAACAGAATTGATGGATGCTATCATTTAAATAATTATTTTTAAATAATTATATGATTTATTTGTTGTCTGCATTTCTCTTAACATGGGACTACAAATCTCAAGAAAAGACAGACAGAAAGACAGACAGACAGAATGAAGAAGTGGTGGCAGAGGAAGAAGAGAAAAAAGAGAGGAAGAAGGAGTACAAGAATGAGAAAGAGATACCCACCTTCCAGTACTTGATGTTATTGTTTGACCATTATCACAGTAAAGACGGATGCCATTCAAGCCTGTATCATCATTCCATGCCATACTACCTTGGTAGTCCTCTACCTGGTGTGGAAACAGAGAAACAAGAGTGTACTAAAGCTGTTGCGAATGCAGCTACTTTAACACTCATGAACTGGGTTATTAATGTTGCACGTTAACATCATGAACATTTCCAGGAGAATTCATAGGGTATTAAAATGTCTCAAGCCCAAAGATCTGTTTCCACGTGCCAAGACATTTCTGTTCCACCCAAATATCTGAAACACAGAAGACATAAAATGAAACAGACATAAAATAAATGTACATTGTTTGTACTGTGGGAAATACATGAGCTATGTAAATTCCAGTGTCTACTCATACTCATTTCTACCCGGCTGCAGCATGGTTTATTAAAAACATCATGGTGCTATTTTTGTCCCAATGTGTTACATTGGATGAAACAAAAAAAGTACCTCAGAAGAAAAAGATCTGCTTTTGTCAATTGTCCCTTTTGTCCATTGTTTGTACAAAAGCAATTATGGCATAGCTCTATAGCTAACTTTAAATAATTATAATGTTATATGGAACAAACATAATATTTTAGACTTTGTAGATCTTTGAAGATATGAACTTTGAAATAAACCATAACACATGGGAACTAAATTTATTAGCCTGTTTTGCTCCAAAAAATATGTAAGTGCTTATTTTCAGGCTATCTTATTTTTCCTAATTGACTTTTTATTGATCTGTAATTAGGGCTTATTTTTGAAGAAGGGATTATATTTTGAGCATCCTCAAAATTCATGCTCAGGCTGATTTTCAAGGAAGGTCTTATTTTGGGGAAAACGGAGTATACTTGTGATACACATTTTTATTAGTATCACTCTTCCCCCCCCCCCCCAAAAAAAAAATAAACAACATACACATGCCGAAGCATGAAGGCTAAACTGACTGGTACTGAAATATAATAACCAATGTGTCTCAAGAAAGCATATCACTCCCTTGTTAAAAGTTTCCCTGGCTACTAATTCATTTCAATCAGAATTCAGTGTGCTGATTATTACCTATAAAGTTATTTATAACTTAACTCTAAACTATGTGATAATCATGGGCTCATCTACACTGACCGTATAATGCAGGCAGAATGCAGAGTGAAGTTAGCTTCAAATTGCAGCAGGTAAACAACACATACCTTCAAAGTGTGCTGCTCCACAGGTAAAGGATGGTAAAAGTAAAGGTAAAAGTTTCCCCTTGACATTAAGTCTAGTTATGGCCAACTCTGGAGAGTGGGGCCCATCTCAATTTCGAAGTCAAAGAGCTGCCATTGTCTTTAGACACCTTCTACTGATCTACTCACATTTGCATGTTTTCAAACTGCTAGGTTGGCAGAAGCTGGGGCTAACAATGGGAGCTCACCCCATCCCATGGATTCAAACTACCAACCTTCCTGTCAGCAAGTTTGCAACTTAGCGCTTTAACCCACTGCACCACCGTGGCCCCCTAAAGATGCTAAAGCACATCAAACAAAGTCAGGAGATAGTCTTTAAAAAGCCATTTAATGCTCTGCAGTGAATCCCAAATCTTGCCTGGCAAAATTGGCTTCTCAGAACAAGAATCACATTGTAGACACCCACTGTGCTGAAGTGCTTTGTTATCAGTGGAAAAGAAGTAAAGAGAGTCATTCTCTAAGCAGTTGGAACGCAGATAAATCAAATTTCCATCAGACTTGTATGGGCCGAGCCAAAAGTGTTTACTTTGCTAATATATAACCAAGTAACTGATACAGGAGTCTGGCCCACTATTTCCCAATATTTCTCCACTTTCTTCTTTTTTTAAAGCCAAAATATATTTTTTAGTCTTTGGGGAGCTGTTCATTCTCAAGGTGTCTGAAAAGAGGAGTGCAAAATAGCCTTACCTTCAAGGCGAATCCCTTTGCATATCCTTCCCTACAGAGTTCTTGTGTACCCCAAATACCCCATGAGGCTCCATTGTTCACATTGAGTTGTATGTTACTGTTTCGAGCATCTCCATACCAGAAGCAACAGGTAAGCATCACAAAGCAAGTACTGACTTGGAGATACATGGCTGGAAGTCTGCTCTAAATGCAACATAATAAAACAATTTATTTATTTGTCACCTTCCTGCAAAAGGGCAACTCAAAATAGCTCAAAACATGATGTAAATAGAATGTAACTAAAACCAGCAATGATTGTAATATTAAACACACACAAACGAATGTCTCTATTGAAAGAACAAATTAACCACAAATTAAAAAATACATCTGTCAAACTGAAATAAATAAAGGATTCACAAAAAATAACTGTAAGGAGTCTGGTTGGCTATTCAGGTTAAGGGAGTTGCATAACCAAGGGAACAGAATCAAACTAGGAATGTTTACACCTGGAATCTGGAGTGATTTCTCAGGGCCCTTCTACACAGCCATATAACCCAGAACATCAAGGCAAAAATCCCACAATATCTGCTGTGAATTGGGTTATCTTAATCCACACTGCCATATATCCCAGTTCAAAGCAGAAAATATGGGATTTTATTCAGCTGTGGGGAAGGGGTCTCATATAGTAACAATTTCCCTGAATTGTCGAAGACTTTCATGGCCGGGATCACTGGGTTGTTGTAGGTTTTTCCGGGCTATATGGCCATGTTCTGGAGGCAACATAGATGCCTGCATCTATGGCAAGCATCCTCAGAGGTAGTGAGGTCTGTTGGAAGTAGGAAAAATGGGTTTATATATCTGTGGAATGACCAGGGTAATGTTTCAGCTGATCACCTTGATTTGCATTCAATGGCCTGGAAGGCACTGCAAACTACTCCAACCAGAGAAATCAGCCATAGCAGAGCACCTGATGAACCAATCTGGACACAGCATATTATTTGAGAACACAGAAGTGGTGGACCACTCTCACAACCACCATGTCAGACTACACAGAGAAGCCATTGAAATCCACAAGCATGTGGACAATTTCAACAGAAAGGAGGAAACCATGAAGATGAACAAAATCTGGCTACCAGTATTAAAAAACTCAAAAATACAACAGCAAAAAAACCAGAGATTAAACAATCAGGCACATCAATTCACTCTCAACAAGAGATTACCCCCAGGCGCTTCCAGGCCATTGAATGCAAATCAAGGTAATCAGCTGAAGCATTACCCTGGTCATGTCAAAGATATATAAACTAGGGCTGGGCAACCACGGAAAAATTTGTTTCTAAACTCGATTCGTTTTTAGGGGGGTTTTGCGTTTCGATTTTTAAAAGAATTCCGAAATTTTCCTTTAAAAAATTTCGTTATTTACGAAATTTCGTAAATTACGAATCAATTACGAATCAATTTTGAAACAATTACAATAATGGCGGGCGCCCCCCCCCACCCCCCCCCCCCCCCCCCCCCCCCCCCACCCCCCCCCCCCCCCCCCCCCCCCCCCCCCCCCCCCCTGGGCCCCCCGCTCGCGCAATACATAGGGAACTTCTGAAGCTTCCCTCTCCCTCTGTTGTTGACTGTTGGTGTGATAATTTATTTATTTTTTACTGAGAAAACAAACAGCAACCCTAAAACTTGCACCAGACATGCGGATATAATAACAAAATGATTTCGAAGCAATTGAAAAAATTCGTTTCGTTTTTTAGTTGCTCCTGAATGGTTCAATATCGCTTCGTTATCAAAAAATAATGAATTAATAACGAATTACGAAATTAACGAACGAAATCGCCCAGCCCTAATATAAACCCATTTTTCCTTCTTCCAACAGACCTCACTACCTCTGAGGATGCTTGCCATAGATGCAGGCGAAACGTCAGGAGAAAAATTGCTTCCAGAACATGGCCATATAGCCCGGAAAAACCTACAACAACCCAATTTCCCTGAATTTTGTTCCTCTTTTTTTTTCCTGGAGAGGCAGCACATGACTTTTGGCTGATGCAAAAATTCACTGACTGGCTTTCAGACACCTACAAAGGAGATGAATTTGCACTTATCTTTTACATCAGGGGTCCTCAAACTAAGGCCCGTGGACTGGATATGGCCCTCACTCAGGGTCAACCTAAGTCAGAAATGACTTGAAAATGCATAGGAATTCATTCTTTTTTATTATAATCCAGCCCTCCAACAATTTGAGGGTCTGTAACGTGGCCCTCTGTTTAAAAAGTCTGAGAACCCTTGTTTTACAGTGTGGGGAGAAAAGTAGTTGAGGCAGCAACAAAGTGGGACAAACCGCAAAATAGAGTCTTGGTGACCCTATGCTATCTACATCACATGTAGTCTTGCAAGAGTCCTTCTTTTAAGCAGAACACCTGTCTCCTTGGATTTGACTCTGCATGAGCTGAAGTCGACGATATGTACATTTTATGCTCCCAGGCCTCTCAAAGTCATTGCTAATGACATAAAACCATCACAAGGGAAAATATAGATGTCCCTAATGCACTTTTAAATGTAGATATTGAGAACTGAGCTATGGATCTTCTTATTTCATTATCACATCTAACAAGAAAGGAACTGTTATATTACTTACCTTTCCACAGCTGCCTGTGTTCCTATAACTGGACTAAGGAGAAGCTGAGGAACAGTGCATGTCAGAGTGGGCAAGGCTATGAAGAAGATCAGGAGATCAAATGTGGGAGTCAACACGTCAGCACCTTCCATGCTCTGTTGCTAGGTTATTTAAAACAACAGACTTAAGGCTATGATCCATCCTTTATTCTTTTCTAGCTATAACTCAATATGCCTCTATACTGTTGAGTTGTTTTTGTTTTGTTTTTTTGTCGTGTCAGGAGCAAGTCACTTCTGGTGTGAGAGAATTGGCCATCTGCAAGGACGTTGCCCAGGGGACGCCTGGATGATTTGATATTTTTATCATCCTTGTGGGAGGCTTCTCTCATGTCCCCACATGAGGAGCTAGAGCTGATAGAGGGAGCTCATCCACCTCTCCCCGGATTCGAACCTGCGACCTATCAGTCTTCAGTCCTGCCGGCACAGGGGTTTAAGCCACTGCGCCACCGGGGGCTCCTACTGTTGAGTTAATGCAGCTTGACACCAAATTAACTGTCATGGCTACAAACTATGGAATTAGGGGAGTCATAGTCTTAGGATGACATTAGCTTTCTGTACAAGAACCGCAGTTGCCACATCAAACTACAAACCTCAGAATCCCATAGTATTGAGCCAGGATAAATACAATTGTGTCTGATTGCATTAATTCTACAGGCTTTCTAAGAACTAGCTATCCTAACATAAGATGAATTGCTTACGAGGATGTGTGAATCATCTGAGGTGGATAAACTGACAACATTGATCAAGAGAAATTCTTGACAATTTTTTTAAAAAAACTGGGACATGTTTATTATTTTCCTACAGAAAAGATGGGGACAAACTTAAACTGTTTTCTGATTTAGAAGAGTGTTATTCAAACTAACATTTTTGGTGGAAATTTAGTGATTTTTAAGGGAGTAGAAAAGAAGTAAAAAATCAATAGGTATTAAGTGGGAAGCTTATAGATTAGTACTTGTTGTTACATGTTTAGTATATGTTTAGGTTTTTATTGGTTAGAACAATCATTTTAGATATAATTGTGTTATTTGTTGTAGTCTAGTTTTATATATCAAGAAAATCCTTTTTGTCTTTATGGAACGTGTGTTTTTATTTTCTGTAATTCTTCTTTCTGTCTCTGTTTTGTATGTTTCTATTTTTATATTGCTGTACTTCTGAATAAAAATTAGTGTTAACAATTCTACACTGTAAATTCACCTTAGTCATATATTGAATAGATGCTCGGAATCAAGTGTTGAATCATAAACCAATGTAAGAAAATCCAATTGACTCTAATCTAGTTGAGAATAAGAACATCCTCTAGGCCCATGAGAAATGGTTATACTTGTGTCCATAACAAAACAGCCTCAAAAGAATGATCTTGTGTGTCATAAAATTAAATATTGTAGAGCCTTGTCCCAATTGGATTTCCCCCCAAGTGAGGGGATGTGCAGACAAGCTAGTCCCAAATAGAAACTGTAGCAGTCGTCTCAACAGCCATCTTGGGTTCAGGCATTTGTGGGGCAAAGGATGGCTGTCACTTCCCAACCCTTCTGAAGTCGAATTTAGACTATGGACCATGGTTAAGAAGCATCCTGCCTGGTGAACATTTAAGCTAACACCCAAGTTACAGATTAAGGAACACACACTCACTAGAGATGAAGAAAGGCAACAGAGGCTTTAATTACTATCTGCAGCATAATATTAACAATAATAATAATTTTATTTCTTACCCATCTCCAGGCATGTAGCAGGGGGGGGGCCTCGTGGGGCTTCAGCCCCCCCCCCCCGAAATTCTCATGGTGGTTCGCGAAAAGGCCTTACTGGTGCATTATTTAAACTGTTACTGTTATGTTTATTCATATCATGATCTGATCACCATACTCAATATATCCCATATGCATGGGGGTATTGGGGTAATGATACAAAAGGTTTGCTAGGCTAGACCCTCTTTCACTCAGACTCAGCCCCCCACCCCCGAAACCCCTGAAAAAAATTCAGCCCCCCCCCCCCCGGAAACGAAATCCTGACTACGGGTCTGCCCATCTCTCTTCATGGCTCAAGGCGGGTTACAACATTGCTGAAACACATAATTATTTTGAAACACTCCGTAAAATATGCATATGAAAACATATTTCCATAAAATACTGTATGTATTAAAATACACAAAGCGAAAGTTAGACATAAACTGGAAATTTAAAATTTGTCATTAAAACTGTCTGGGTAAGCCTGTTGGAAGAGATGGCTGTTTCTCTGGGTGGTAGTTGCCAGTCAGGTTCTGCAAGGCTGGAGCAGATGCACCCCAGAGGACCTCAGTGCTTGGGGTGCATTGTATGAGAAAAGGCAATCCTGTAGGCAACCTGGACACAAACCATGTAGGGCTTTAAATATCAATACCAACACCTTATACTTTGCTTGGTAACTAATTGGCAGCCAGTGGAGTGACTTTAGGATAGTGGTGATATGCTCACTCCTGGTTGCTCCTGTAACCAATCTGACTGCTGTATTTTGAACCAAGTGGAGTTTCTGAACTTGGAACAAAGGTAGCCCGATGTAAAGCACATTGCAGAAGTCCAACCTTGAGATTACCAGCTCATGCACCACCATCTTGTTGTTGTTGTTGTTCATTCGTTCAGTCATCTCCGACTCTTTGTGACCTCATGGACCAGCCCACGCCAGAGCTCCCTGTCGGCCGTCACCACCCCCAGCTCCTTCAAGGTCAGTCCAGTCACTTCAAGGATGCCATTCATCCATCTTGCCCTTGGTCGGCCCCTCTTCCTTTTTCCTTCCACTTTCCCCAGCATAATTGTCTTCTCTAGGCTTTGCTGTCTCCTCATGATGTGGCCAAAGTACTTCAACTTTGTCTCTAGTATCCTTCCCTCCAGTGAGCAGTCGGGCTTTATTTCCTGGAGGATGGACTGGTTGGATCTTCTCGCTGTCCAAGGCACTCTCAGAACTTTCCTCCAACACCACAGCTCAAAAGCATCATCTTCCTTCGCTCAGCCTTCCCTAAGGTCCAGCTCTCACATCCGTAGGTGACTACAGGGAATACCATGGCTTTGACTAGGCATCTTTGTTGCCAGTCTGATGTCTCTACTCTTTACTATTTTATCGAGACTGGACATTGCTCTCCTCCCAAGAAGTAAGCGTCTTCTGATTTCCTGGCCTCAGTCTGCATCTGCAGTAATCTTTGCACCTAGAAATACAAAGTCTGTCACGGCCTCCACGGTTTCTCCCTCTATTTTCCAGTTGTCAATCATTCTTGTTGCCATAATCTTGGTTTTTTTGACGTTTAGCTGCAACCCGGCTTTTGCGCTTTCTTCTTTCACCTTGATTAGAAGGCTCCTCAGCTCCTCCTCGCTTTCGGCCATCAGAGTGGTGTCATCTGCATATCTGAGGTTGTTAATGTTTCTTCCAGCAATTTTCACCCCAGCTTTGCATTAATCCAGCCCCGCACATCGCATGATGTGTTCTGCATACCAGTTAAAAAGGTTGGGTGAGAGGATGCAGCCTTGCCGTATGCCTTTCCCAATCTTGAACCAGTCTGTTGTTCCGTGGTCAGTTCTTACTGTTGCTACTTGGTCCTTGTACAGATTCCTCAGGAGAGAGACAAGGTGGCTTGGGATGCCCATCCCACTAAGAACTTGCCACAATTTATTATGATCCACACAGTCAAAGGCTTTAGAATAGTCAATGAAGCAGAAGTAGGTGTTTTTCTGGAACTCCCTGCTATATGTTAAATCAGTTAAATTGTAGGGGAAAATTTTATAATGGAGTAAAAGGAGAAGAGTGTATGAGAAAAAAGTGGTCGTTTCTGAGCCACCTATTTCTTGAATACCAGACTTTTGATTCAGGCACCATGGGAAGACTGACATGGAAGACCACTTGCTTGCATCTCTCATAGTGCCTTGAGCCACTTGTAAAGATCCCTTACCTTGCCAGCCAGGGTGGCAGGGCCCAGGAAGAGACAGGCTAGGTAGATTCAGCTAGAAGGCCTGGCAGAGAGCTGCTGGAGCCATCTTAGTTTAGGGAAAAACTCCAGTTCAGAAGGGGGAGTGGCCGAGGCCTGTGCCAGCCCAGCAACAGCCAGGATTGGTTTAGAGAAGAGGGGCGGAGTTAGCCAGATGGAGGGAAAGAGAATAGTTAGTTTTGACAGTTTTAGAGTTAGTACAGCTGAGTTCTGAGTAGAGTAAAGAGCAGTTTTAGTTCTGAGAGAGAGATTAGAGTAGGAGTTGGATTGTTTAGGAGTCTCTGTTTAGAATAGGCAGCTTGCCTGTAGTTTGCACAGCACAGTAGGCTGTGGCAGACTGAGTTACAGCTATTTTGAGAGAGAAAATAGCTGGGTTTTGGTGTTTAAGAAACTGTAACAAAGGAAAGAACATTCTCTCAAGAAACCATTACGCTTATAAGTACCAAGAACACTTTTTATTGTAACCATCAAGCCTCTGAACCTGCATTCTCGTGTTATTCTGTATTTGTAATCAATAAACTCTTTCTTGTTATTTTTAAACTTAAAGCCTGAGTCAAGTGCCATTTTTGGTTTTTGAGTCCCTTTCCTTATTGAGTCAACCTCTCCTGTTTTCCCCTCTAAGAAAGCCCTTGTTAATACACAGATTTTGGGTGGAGTAAAAAGCCTTTTAATAATTTAAACACCCTTTTAACATTTTAAATAGCTAGAGTTCGTGTTTCTTTATTTTATGGTGGCAGCGAAGGTTCTACACAACGTGACATCCCCTCAAACACTAGAATAGCCGAAGAGGTGTGAATTCCTTATTGAAGGAAGGACAGTGGTGGGATTGCTTTGGCCCCCTGTCCAGACGGCCTCTCTAGGTTATTATAATTGGTTTGCAGTGGTGGGATTTCTTTGATTGTTCCCCCCTGCCTTGATAAGCCTTTCTAAGTCCTTATAGCAAGCACCTCTGTTTTGTTTGGATTCTGTTTCAATTTGTTTTTCCTCATCCAACCCATCATCCCCTCCAGGTATTCATTCAGAGGAGACATGCTATCCTTAGCTGAAGCTGTTTTTGAAGGATTTTGTAGAAAGGATACATGGAAGGT